AACATGTTTTGTTTATGCTAACAGCAACATGACCAACATGTCAGGCTAACAATCAACATATACCGAACCGAAAACCATGACCGCGAAACCGTGAACCGTGGATTTTGTGAACCGTTCCACCCCTAATATATATATATATATATATATATATATATATATATATATATATATATATATATATATATGTATAAAGCAGCTAAGTAAAGGTCAAAGTTCTTCCATAATTCCGCACATGAATACTGTTTTAGGTGGTCTACTCTACAGTAAAGGCTTTATGAATATCTTCTATTGTATTGGATTTTCCCTTATCAGTTAAATCTAATAAAGGCTTGGTATTTGCATATATTTCCAACTGGGCTCCTCAGTATCAGTGGCCTTTAAGCTTCTGTGCTCAGGGCCTCTGCAGGTATTAATCCTTCATTGTGTCACAGTATGAACGTCGATGTATATTTCTGCTTTTCTGTATGTGTGCTGCCAGTGCTGTGTGCACAAAAGCCAATAAAATTTTAATTAGGCAGAAATGACAAAAGCAAAGGATAAAACCTAATAAAAGGTTAAGACATACACCTGAAATTCAAGAAGAAAAGCAGGGAGTGGTGGGTGTGAGGGAAGGTTTTAATATTGTGAGATTTAAAATGAGATTTGGGACGGAGGGAAGGTCCATGATGTCTGGTATCCCGAAGGACCAGAACATCTTTTAAAGTTTTATTAGACAGGAGATCTGTGTGGCAAAGGTAAACACATTTTACAAGCTTCTGTAAGTGGTAAGAAAAAGTTACTGATGTCAAACTCTTTGCAAAGTTTAACTGGATAAAACTTGCTTTGTTATTGTGATATATAGTCCCGCCTCTCTATGTAAATTGTTCACCCAGGCTAAAACATGAAGATCTATTTACATTAATTCAACATTTTGTTTGGCTCCCTCATTTTCAAGCTGTTGGCCTTTATTTTTAATTACGTTGCTGCTAATCACATATAACACAACAGATTTAAACTCACCTTGGCAGCCTTGGTTGAGCCTGTGGTTGGCTGACGTTTTGCTGCTGTGGGTGTGGTCGCCTTGGGCATGGGGCTTTTTTTATTGGCTGTAGTAGGAGACGGGCGTTTGGCCGAGTTGGCCACATCATTGGTGGAGAGGGTAGATGGACGTGATTTGGTTGAATTTTGTTTGGTTGAACCCGGATCAAGCTGGGTTATGAATGAAAATGCCCCCAAAAAAACAAAAACGTAGTTGCAAAATATACAGAAAACCCATAAAGAAACACCAGCAAATTATAACAGGGGAAGGAAATGGAAAAAGAAATCAGGGAGGGGATAAAGAGAAAAAAAAGCAGTGGTGAAATCCCAGCCGTGAGAAGAATATGGCAGCACAGCAAGCATCCATAAAGCAATCATAAAAAAGGTTATAAAATATTAATTACAGACCGACCTTGGAGAGCTAATGAGTAATAAATTACAAAATTGTCAGAGAAAGGAACTGAGCAGCAACCCACAGACAGCAGATGATATGGAAAAGGGCCCGAGGTGTGACTCACATGCACTACAGCACATCCAGCAAACACCCACATTAAATATCAGCATGATCAAAAAAATAAGACGGAGCGAGATTATCGATGCAGTCACTGTGGAGTGATAAGAGCACTTCTAGAACCACTGGATCATCTGCCATCCTGACTGTTTGAGTTCTCTTGCAGGAAGTGTGTGTGAGGGGCACTTTGCGCTGGTGTGTGTTGAGACACTCACCTTGCTCTTGCTGTCTGTGCTTGGAACGGTTTTGCTGCCGTTCCCTGTGGGAGACTTGGCTGTGCCTTTTCCTCCCTTCTCCTCCTTCTTCTCAGCCGGCTTCTTCTCCTCTTCCTTCTTTTCGTCCTTGTTGGTCTTCTCTGGCTTATCCACCTTCTCTGGCTTCTCATTAGCCTTGTCGTTCAGCTTATCAATCTTTTCCTCATTTTTGAGGATCATCTCCTGCTTTTGATTCTTGTCGGTGTTGTTGTCCTTCTTTAGCTGCTCTTCCTTCTTGTCCAAGTTGTTGATCTTGTCCGTCTTGCTGGAGTTAATGTCTAGCTTCTCCTTGTTGTCAGCTTTCACTGCCAGGGAAAAAATAGTGATGCTGTCAGAGTTAACCAATTTAAATATTTAGCTTTTAGAAAAGAGCTGGCAAAACACCTTATCTTTTGAAATCAACTATTTCTGCGTTTCGAAAAGTGATCAACTTAATGATAAATAAAAAAAACAGATCTAACATTAAATCTTCTTGGGAACAAAGAAAGTAACAGTTAGTAAACCTGTTTAAACAGAAATGAAATTCAGCTGACCTTTAGCATATGAATCTGTTAGCTGAAGCTAGAGATTGAAGTGAGACATTATTCCTTTGATTATTTGGTGGGTAAAATAATGAATATTTCTACATTTCCGAGAGTGTTGACCCATTATTTTCAGTACCTTGATTGGAAGCTGAAGGTCAGTGAAAATGTATTTTCTGATAATAACAGTCAGCCCAGAAGTTAATTTAAATTGATAGAAAAAACAAAACAAAATGTGAGCACAGTGGAAATTTGTGGAGTCATTAAAAGTAGATGTGAATAAAGGAACCCCAACAATGGCCATGTCTGAATGTTAGCCTAATTTTAGATACACAATTTTAGATGAGTGTCTGAATGTCTAGTGGATGAAAAAGTCGAAATTTTCCATATTGCACCTTCAAAAGTGATCATCCATGGTCACTATGGTAAATGGCCTGTACTTATATCGCCCTTTTTCAAGTCAGGAGCCTTGACCAAAGCGCTTTACACTACATTCAGTCATTTACCCATTCACGTACACACTCACACACTGAGTGTGACCAGCAGATATATCCCGAAAATCTCTGTGAGTGCTCTCCTTGCAAAGCAATATGGGATTTGTTGTCACAACGGCTCGCTGTCGGTATCTGACAGCTGCGACTAATAACAAAGATTGCGCAGGCACCATGCGGGGAGGTGGAGCGAAAATGACTGATCATCTGTCCAAACTGTCAATTAACTGAGTTCACTATAAAGTTAACTACATAGTCTATATAGTGATTGAAGGATTTAGAGGGTTAGGGCGGACGTTCGGACACGGCCAATCTAATAGAACTGGAATTTTTCTATATAAAACAGCAGGAGCATAGTGACAGGTCCAGATGTGGGACTTGGAATTGTTTCCAATTGAAATGTGAAAAATAATTAGAGAAAAAGTTTTCAGATGATTCCTTAAAAAATACTGGTGGTGATAAATTAGGCATTTTAACAAAGGGGATAGAAAAAGTTCAAATTCACAATGCCTATTAAAAGTTAAAACTGGAAAAAAAATATCAGTCAAAAGAAAACGGTAATGTTACCATTTTCTAGATTTAGAAAAAAATACTAAAACAATTAATCAGAGTAATTGTCATTAATTAATCATTGAACTAAGTGTCAACTTATTTCTCAATCATATAATTGTTAACTGGACTAAACAGACACCAAACACGCCATAGGCTAAAAGAACAGTCCTAGATAAACAGGAGCAGGCTAAATTAACCTTTAATTCTGCAAAATAATAAAATCTCTCAAACATGTTTTTCAATTACATTATTATTCGGTTTATCAAACAACTGTTTATAGACTTATAAAATGTTTGGTGGTTACATAAGTTTTCAAAGTGACTTGTTAGGTAACAGAATAAAATCCCATTTACGAAAAGGACATCAACAAAATCTGCAGCAAAAAAAACAAAAAAAAAACAACCCCCAACAAAGAAACCTGTGTTAATTATGCGACACAAGCACAATTGAGAGTAGCTGATCTTTAAAAAAAGCTAATCAGTTCATGAGTTTTATTTTTCTTTGAAAAACGTAATTTATAATGACTCAGAAAATACAAAATAAGGGAAACAAATAAAATTGTCCTAAAATAGACAAAGAAATGATTAGAAAAGACATTTATGAGTTAAAAGCAAACTTGAATAAACATAAACTCTAGAATAGAATAGAATAGAAAATCCCTTTACTGTCCAACAATGGGAAAAATCTGGTTACAGCGGCAAAAAGATTATACAAAAAAAAGGTCACACAAATGTGGACCTTAGAAGAGTGTATAAAAATAAAATAATAGTGAAGAGTTAAAATACAAATTAACAAATAAAATATTTTAGTGTCAAGTGTTTTAACAATATAAATAATATGCACTGGGAGAATAAATAAACAAAATACAGCTGTGGACAGTAATGGATATCTGAAAATAGCAGCAACGTCAGAGATGTGCAAAAAGACAGCAGCATGTTATTTAACTGACTAAGCAAGAAACTGTGCACTTATTGAGGTTGTTTGGAAGAGGGATCGTTATAAAGTCTTACAGCTGCTGGCAGGAAGGATCTGTGATAATGTTCCATAATGCATTTAGGGTGCAGCAGTCTGCCAATATGTGTATTTATATGCAAACTCTGTTATTACATATTGACAGTATCAGCAACTATTTTCGTCTTTCACAGCAAATATGAGTTATGAGTGGACTTTAAAGTAGGGCTGTGTGAGAAGCAGAATAACTCATTATTCTTGCATTTTTTTTGTACCAATTTTAAGCACATCAAGGTTTTCACAGCTATATTGAGCTAAGCACATATTCCCACCTTTCCTTTTACAAAAATAATTTGAGGTGTATAATAATTTGTTACTTTCAGTGTGCTTTTAAAACCCATGTTAAATAAATTTTACTTTTAATTAAAACAATTACATTAAAATGTACTTGTTTTAGGAAGTAATATTACTGCATAAATTTTATGTTCTGGAAATCCACACTTTACAAGTTCTACCATGATTAAAGGTGCAATATCCTTTTCATTTAAATGTATATTTAAATGCTTTAATAAAAATCAATGTGGAATTTATCCTTTACTTCTATTACACTTGATTTTTTTCCCTTTGCATATATTTCTACTCTAAACATTCCAACTTCTAATAAATGCAAATTTAAATAATTTCCATCACCTTTACAAAGACATCCTCTGCCTGCATTTCTAAAACGTGAAACAGTTTCAGCGACAGATATTTAACACACAACATCATTTGCTATTTGCATCTCTACTTCTGTTATTTATAGATTTGAACATCCAAGTGGAAGATTCTATGTAGGTCGTGGCAGCAGATGATTCTGGGTCTGCTTGGTAAACAGGACAACCCATTTAGTCTAATGCACTGCCTTATGTAAGTGCTGACAATGGTGACATGCTGTCTCCTCAAAATCCATGTCACCGAGGTCATCTCCAATCCTGACACTAGACAGTTTTGTAAGTACTGAGCTGTAGCATCTCTGCATACTAGAGATTTAGCACATTGGCGTCTTTTCTGATACAAAAACTCTTTACATTTTTACACTGAACAATTAAAAATCAATGTCCAAAAATCACCAGCAAGACTTTTTCAGCAGATTTCTTTTGACTTTTTTTCAAAAAACTTTTTCATCAAAAGATTAGTTGAAGAAAATACATTTATTCACAGAACATTCAAAGTGATGTAGAATGAAAATATTGATTTAAACTAAATTCTTCCACTTCTTTCTTCCACACATTTAATTTGTAACAACCTATACCTGCTTTTGCATGCACTGCGGACTGAACTCTATTTAATTATATGCATTACAACATTTTGTTTGATATAGTGTGTGTTTCCTCTAAGAGTGTTTATAACACCAATGACACCATTCTTGACTGAATATGGAAACCAAATTCTGTCTGAGTCCTGTGCAAAAGAACATTGCCGTTAGGAATAAGACATCCCATCTGAAAAAGGTATTCACGTTTTAGGTAATACGTTTGTCATAACAGTTTTTAAAATTGTTGCAGAGAATTAAAGCTGTTTTGCCAAAAAAACCATTCTGGAACAAAATATCTGTAGGAGTGAAGAGAGACAAATCCTACAATATCTAAAATATTACTTGTCAGTAACTAAATGAATCAAATAAATACAGCATAGCTAGAGTAATAATGCATGGTCCTATCTGTCAGAATATTTTCCTCCTAAAAGTAGTGGTCTTAGTCCTTACTGGCCTAAGTCTAACTCTAAATTTTAGACTAAGTTGACACTACTTCAACAATATCTGACTCCAATATATGATATGCACATTGTTAGACCTTTGTAGAGCTTTACTGCATACCTCTAAGAAAGTTTAGTTTTATTCAGGCGTTTAGGGAAAAGGGCATGTATAAAACTTGCAGAACCATTAGAACTGAGCTTCAGCCCAGTGTAATAAACATTTTCTAAATGCTTTGCATAATATTTTGACATTACAAAAAGGTAGGTCTATAAATGATAAACCAAGGAAAAATGTGGATAATGTAAGTTTTTTAAGGTACAGTATAACTTACTGTTTATATGTCCCTCTTTTGTATAAAGCATGTGCAAAGGGATTTATGGTGTGAACGTAGTGTTTTACTGCATCAGGGTTTTTCTTGACATTACCATATATTTTTGTTTAATCTCACTTTAATATTTGTGGCTGAAATTCAGTTCTAAGGACAAAAACCTAAATGATGTATGAGTGAACCCAACTATATGAACCAGGTGATATAGTTTGAATATTCCAACAAAAAGTTTTACTGCTGGAGTCATTCATCACTAAAGCTACCTTCAAATTGCAGGTCTTGAAGCTTAATTAAGATCTTTTGCTGGTACCCAATTTTTTTTCTTGCATGGTCGTTCAGACTTGTACTTAAATGCAGCTTCCATCAGACTCCAGTTCAAACGTTTAATGGCCCTAATGTGACCTACTTGTGCAAAAGGACAATTTAGACGTCACACAGCAGGGCAGAGTTTACAGAAGTCATAATATATGTCACCATCTTTATTTTATTAGGTGTTGCTGCTCAACAAAAAGATCCAAAAATATTATGATCACATCATGAAAAGGTGAAAAAAAGAGCTAATTACAATGTGCCTCTGCGCCTGCTTTGCTAGAGAAGAGTCTGGATAAGTAAGTAGTGAGAGCCTGGATGATAATGTAAGAGTCTGATAAAACATGACATAAACATTTAGACTGCAAACGCTTTTAAACTATCAGATATGTATCCGATTTTGTACCACATATGATTT